CACGATACCAGAATTCCAACTGCTAAAATTGACTTGCTATATTCCTCGATTGTTACTCCCAATGTACTCGCATTGAGCAGAAAATTGTGCTGCGTCAACCAGGACTAAATGTATTTCTTGTTTTTTTCGTTTCAAAAAATATTGTTTCGTCCAAATAAGAGCACCATGGTACTAAAAGCATCTCCTAAAAAACCTTGATTTCTGCATATACCCCAAAGATCACGAGTATGGGCTGTGCGTTGGTGCGCCATGCAACGTAAGTCCGCGGATGTAGACGGGAGCGAGTGGATCTTGGTGGCTATGAGTGGGTGTGGGTGTGAGTATGGGTGGGGTGCGTGTAAGTAACGAGAAGAGTAAAACCAACACCAACATCAACATGCAATTCGAAGCGACACCACCAATAGAGTTCTGCATCTTGAGTCGGTTTAACAATTCGTTTCTACTCAGTTTTCCATGGTGAATATGGAAAAATTATTTTCAGAAGCTCCAAGAAATAACGAAATAAAAAATTTCACACATTTTTGCAAAGGATGTGTTTTTTTTCAAAAATCGACACTTCTAGAGTATTTCGTATTTTTTGATCGGAAGGAAATATTTGCTAAGGCTAAAAAGTAGTTTTTCGTGATCAGGAGCTCAAGTTCTAGCAAATGATGTAAAAAAAACCACGAAAAGAAAATTTTACTTGAATTTCGAATTGCCTGCACCTTACTCACTATGTCTTTGTTTTTCTGATATCTACCTATCTTATATTCGTGTATTCCTTCGCTCTCCGATCTATAAATAGACTAGGGTAGTCGAAATAAATTATTTAATAACTTTGATGATCTCTGAAGTGATATATTACGGTGTTTTCCATAAAAATATGATCAGTGTTAACAATATTCTTTACATGTTTAATAATCTGGTGCATCAGAAATATTCAGAAACCACTTAAACTGAACCAGCGTTCAACGATTATGAGCTGGCAGATCAATTATTTGTATTGTTTTCAATCAAATATTAAACTTCAACAGATCTGCTGGTCGAACATATTGTAACCTTAGATTTCGATGAGTATGAAGATTGCAATGATTATTACAAAGAGAAAGTTAAAAAGGACATTGCGTTGAACATTGATGGTATAAAATATTCCTTTGACACAATGTGTGCCATTGTTGAGTTTTCAACAAACCATAATTTGTCCACATTATGTAGGCGTTATAAACAAATAAAACACAAGGAACAGTTATGTCAAATAAAGCGATACGTTAATGCTCAAGGTACAACAACAAAAAACTCCAATGTGTCAATGACTTTGTTTATTTGGAAATTATTTGCATTCAAAAATGCTGTTTTCCTACACACGATACCTATTTAAGACATTCGGCTCTGGAAAAAAACACAAGACTTAAATATTGTTCATCTTACAGCGTCTCACCATTGAGTTTTAAAATTTTAAAATTCAAACGTCTCCATCACATTTCATCAAGAAAAGTAACAAAGCTGGTAACAAAAAATCATTTAGAAGATCGATAGAAAATATTAAAGTCTGCCGAAATTTTTGTCAAAGAAGTCAGAAATGTCATTCCAAATTATGCTGAAGATCATATATTGAATAGCGATCAATGTAGTTTCAGGTAGGATGTTTATGAATAGAAGGAATTTAAAATAAAAAACAGAATTTTTCAACTTGCAGTTATGAAAATCCATCAACACGGATGTTGGCAACAATCAGTAGAAAAGTAATCAAAGATCAGGCCAAATCCATGAATGCTGTTACTCATTCATACACGATTATGCTGATCATTAGTATGGCTGATAAATTAATTGATTCTGTTTTTACGTGTTTACAGGAGCCTACAGAAAAACTCGGACCACGTGCCAAACAGTCAATTTATCAAGCAAATAATATTCATGTTGCATGCAGTGAGTCCGGAAAACTAAATAAAACACATATTCAGTATTGGACTGCAAATATTTTAAGTTCGTCGATTTCGGAACATTGTCTACTACGGCTAAACTCTAGGTCCGATCAGGCTGATCCTAGTATTTTTGATGATATTTTTGTTGAAAACGTCACTTGCAAGCAAATGCAGATTCTACCAAGCATAACCAGTGATATTTAACCATTGGATCGTTATTTTTTTCGACAATGGAAATATTTTCAACGAAAGATGTATGATCGTGTAGCCATCGATAAGATGGACATTGACACTCTTTGATACATAACCAACTCACAACTAAAAAATTCTCATCTTTAATTAAATATGCTTGGTATTCTAGTAGCTATATCTCAAACGATCTTGTTCATTTTGAGAATGTACACGACTCATGTTTTTCTTTTGACAATCATTTGTGTTCTATGATAGCATGCAATGACTTTTCTTTCATTTGCTGTAGTCATTGTCATAGTATTCTCTACTTCAGCCACTTTTTTTGTAGATGATTATAAACATTAATAAAAATACTTCTTCTTTGTTATGAAACAATTAATGTGTTACTTTTATTCACATGAAAACTGATGTAAGTTTCAAAACAATCCTGTCAAAAGGCTTTAAGCATACATCAGATATTCAGTTGATGTTTTCTCTTCGATTATTCATGACAAAATGCACAACAAAGAGCACTGTGTAGAACTTTTGGACAACTATTAAATTTTATGTGACTTCGCTCTAACCATCATCATCGAAGAAAAAATCGTTAAGAGAAATAATGAAGGAAGAACTTCATACGCACAAATCTGTATAGCAAAATAAGCGTCAAATTTTTGAAAACTGTTTTTCGTAGAAGTTTTTACAAAGGCACTAAGAGCATCTGATTGTTTCACATCCGAGATAGGTGCACTTTATTTAACAATTATGCATTATTTTCATTGAAACCTTCGGGCCACACCAGGGAATCCTTCCTTGTGAGAGGAGTCGAAACTTTTCGAACATCCTTTAACTAATGTTCGAAAACATATATATCTGTTATAGTGCCATTCAAAAATGTTTCTAAAATATTATTATAGAATAGTTTCGATAAAATGATACAAGTTTTGCTTAAGATTTCATTGAAACGAGTGTGAATTTTCGCTGAATTGATGTGCCCAGGCTTCATATCTGTTTCAGAGATGTTCACAAATTTAAAAGTGCCGTTTGCATACAAGGGATTTCATTTACTCTTCGAATATTTTTCTGGACCCATTCAAAACTTCATCTAGTTTGTAAATTAAAAGAAAATTAAGTATTAAATATTTGAAATAATGAAATAAAGTCTGATAATAAAGAATAAATATTATATGTTAGTAAGAATGTTTTATAGTTGCTTTTGGTTTTAGTAAAAGAAGTCAGAGTCAGCATTGATCAATGCTATTTTGATTGAGATTCAAGTCGTCGTTAACCATTACCGAGACGAATTCCTGAAACGACGTGAAGAAAATGATGTATTCAACGAATTATCAAAATAAATGCTTTGTATCTAAACGACAATCTGATGCTTTTAAAGTTTTCGATTAACTAGGTATTCTACAGTTTAGAATGAAAACTTGAAAGGATTTCATACGTATTAATTCAATTTATATCTGCCATTGGGCATCTTTTAAAAGTCGGTCAAAGATAGTCAATAGTCAGAGAAGAGAAAAAAACTTCTATCTCGAATTAGCTGGTCGAATCACGTATGCTGTTATCGATTCGTAGTCTCCGCCTATATTCTATTTTGGCATCATTCTGCACGAGTTTCTATTCTGAGATGTGACCAATGTAAAATTCTATTCCGTATTTTCCATTAGCTTGATATTAGGGATTTGTTGACGATAATCGGCATATTTTGATGGTTTCGCAAATGATGATTTTGGCTGGGTAAGTAAATTAAGATGACATATTGATGAGGATAAAAACTAAAATTTCAAATTGACGAGGTTAATCGGTGCACGAATGTACAGCTAATTTTTAAAATAGTTCTAACGATCAATCAATATCTCGGAATCATTGTATCGATTAAAAGCAATGAAATAATGCGAACGATTTTATATTTATATGTATTCTTAATTCTAATTATAAGTTAACAGCAATAATCATTCAGATAAGAACAAATAGAGTTAGCTGATTGGTTTTCTATTTCTAATTCATACTTCTCCCATAGCATTATCTAGTCATGAGCACATTGCGTCCCATCGTAACTTCTCTGGAAATGAATAAACGGATCCGCGTTTCTCATTTCTTCTTCTATCATTATTGATCTAACCAGGTTTCATTCTCGAAACATGGAAAAGAATATAAGGATGAGAGTACAATTGAAATTAATTTCATTGATTTATATTCATGGTTGATAGAGAACAAAATACGTTCCGACTTACACATAGAAACATTTTACAAATAGAAAATTATTCTATGGAAAGTCGGCCTGAATGAATAAATTAGCACATGTCGCTTTGGATTTAAGCTCGTGTGTTGTTTCTATTGAAAAAAATTCTATCACGCTTATATTTAATAGCATAAAATACCGCAAAAACATACCAAAAACCTTTTTTCCTTGCGCATTAAAAATTAGGATAGAATTCAATGTTTTGAATCTGCGGATTTCGGCACCAAGACTAGCGAGAAATGTTCAAAATCCGATCCTTTTTTAACACATGGAGCTCATCTAGGTATTTTCAAATATTATTAAGCTGATTTTACCTTAACTATTGACGTGAAGGAGGTAGGTCGTTTCATTATCAATATTACACTAATCTTACTAAATTCTGATCAATTCCTACACTCTCGAGCCCAGATTCCTCAACGTTCAATAGTGAAAGAAAAAGCGTTTGGTAGTTCAAATGTGATGATATTAGAGAACATCACAACTCCTCAGCAACTTAGTATTGTGACCCATTAGTCGCAGCGTAAGCATCAGTGGAAAGCATTAAGAGAAAAGTATTCAGTAATGGCACTCAGCTCGTTATTTGTTTCGTAGTTTCTATCGCTAAAACGGTACCAGAATGCTTTTTCTTTCGAATCAACAAGCTACATCTTTTTTTAATGTAATCATGATAGAACTTTTCAAGGCTTTAGGTATAAAACTAAATGAACGCGATGAAGTATTCTTTGAAGTTGAATCCTTATCAGAGCTATATGTTTCGAAGTAAGTGCAAAATCAAACAGAGATTTCTTACCCAAACAAATACTATGATTAATAATTGATATCATTTGCACACGCTTTCCATCATAGTCTGCAACATAGAGGTTGCCCGATGTATCCATTGCCATACCCAAAGAACCAATGCTAACAGCATTATTGTATGAACCATCGAATATTGTTATACCATACGTAGCTCCTGGTGGCCATTGTTGAATTCGTTGATTTCCAGAGTCGAATATAAACACATTTCTATTTCCATCAATAATTATCGATGTTGGAGAATTCAATTGTGCAGGATATGGACCTTGTCCATTTCCTCCAGCAACTAAAACTCCTGTTGTTGCACCACGAGCCCATCGAACGACTCGATGGTTCCCAGTATCACTCACGTAAACATTTCCACTATTGTCGACCCATATACCTTGAGGACCATTCAGCAAAGCAAGAGACGAACCCGTCGCACCATACCACGAACCTGCTACGACTACTCCTGCTGCAGCACTAAGAGTCCATTTAGTCACACGATGATACGTAGCATCAGGTACATAGAGAACACCATTGGTGTCCACATAAATATTAAAGACAGTTCCTATCTGGTTGGGAGCCAATCCAGATCCAGCTCCACCAGCCATAGTCGTTCCAAATACTGAACCATTGAGTCCCCATCGTTGAATCCGGTAGTTCTGTTGACTGAGAGAAGAATAATAGTTGTAACTACCAGTATCAGCCATATAAAGGTTGTTGGATAGACGTTCCACAAATAGACCATAAACTGTACCAATCTGACTAGCAGTGTTACCACCAGGAGTACTATAGTAGTAAGGAACGTTGGGGGCTGTAGTCGGTGCAATGCGTATACCATCTGTGTAATTGCTGCTATATTGATATTTGTAAACTTGAGCTGCACTATTACTAGCGTAAACATTATTATTTGAATCTACTGCAACACCATAGAATCCATATGATGGATCGTAAGCTACGGTTGTTACTGTGTTACTGTAGATGGCAGTGGTGCATGACAACGAAGCTGTTGTAGCTATTTAATTATAATGAATTCGCAAGGATGGACAACAGTTTTAAAGCGAATCAATATTGAAAGAGCTCATCTGTAGTATATTGGGAAGACTAGAATGTTGATGTCGCTTTTCGAATGAGGATGCCTTATGTGTGTGGGCAAGTAGTGAAAGGAAATCAAATTGCAGCTATAGTTATGCTCACGCCTACACCTATATCCAAAGTCACATTCATGCGGAGACTCGCATTGAGATAGCCAGATTAACTTCCCGTTGTAACACATAAGTAAGATCTATCAGATGGATTTCTGGAACTATACTTCTGCGGCACTCTCTGCCTAGTGGTAATAGTTTTAAGCCTATCACCCCTCAAAATTGGATCTCAGCTCAGGAACATTGAGACAGATGGAACTTTGTGGATATGTTCGAGCTGTAAAAGTACATCTGTGGTAAAATTTTCAACTTTCTATTCTGATGTATAAAGTGGATATGAATCAAGAACCGGTCAAGAAATAGCTTATCGCATCACCAATAATTCTCTGTGGGTGTTCATTCAATTCGACTCATTGGTTTTTTTCATATGAAGGAGTATGACATGATGAATTGCCTACGAGGATCCTTTTTAAAATTCTTATCTTTAATAAGAAGTAAATGTGGAAATCTCGGATTTATTTTCGAGAGTTATGTGTGCTTCGAAAAATGAATGAGACAAATCGGTCATCCTATAATGTCTGGATAGAAAGGATTGCGTGACGAACGTTTTCTATAAATCCTTGAATTCCATCGCCTATTTCTCAACCGGTAGGACTTAGGAGCATATCCAGCTCGAGTGTCAACTGTTCGGCTTTACTTAGTCTCAAAAACGCGTTTTCCCTATAACTTGATTTCTATTGATCAATGCTCAACTTAATAGGGCTTCGAGGCAAGTTTAGTGCAGATTCTAGTTCTCCGCCCCAGAAAATCTTCGATTATCACCTCTATGGTCGAAAGATAGAGCTCTAATTGGAAATCAATTATAGTGTGCGGAAAAACAGAACGGATTACCACCTATTTAACTTTGAAATAAGTGAGATAGACCTGTTTCCTAATGTTTTATATATCATTTTGTAGCTCTTCAAATTCTCTATCAAATGGTGTATAATAGTTGGGCTTTTATCTTACTATGATAGAAAAAGTCTTTTACGAAAGCGGCGATCGATCGGTTTTCCCACAGAAAGTCATACGGAAAAATGGTTATTTTTGCAATGATCCAAGAACGGCTCGACTGATCCTTCTCGTCTTCGATCCCAATCGAGATATTGTTAAGAATAAACTGTGTAGAAATTTTCATCGCCATCGGACTCACCTTCCGAACGCTATCGTGTAAACTATCGGGCGAACACACTGACAGATTCTAGAGGGTACTCAATTATTGAGTACACAATAAAGACGTATGGGAGGCTAGATCCCTATATATTTATCTCAATTTACATGGTTCTGGCGAAAAATGACTTTTAAGAGGAGCCTTAAACAAGTGCTGATAAGAACTCTTCTTATGCATAGTTTTCAAGCAGTTAGATTGGAATAATTGATCTGTTCGAATAGATACTATTTCCAGTTTTTCTATGAGTAACTATTGTATTAGTTGTTTTACTTATAATTTTGGTTTTCTTATTATCATTTTGAAAATTTCTTCTACACTTGTGAAACGATGTTTTCATGAAACACGATCTGAATGGAGTGTTGAAATGTAAATGGTAGAAAGTTGAGATTTTCTTTACACACCATTACACACAACCTTTGAAGACAAATACGGAAGGTCTTTATAGACCATCGTAGACCACTACAGATAGACTTTCCACAGATTATACAGTATTACAGATGCCCATCGGAGAGCATCCTAGAATGGGACAAGCATGATCCACATATATGTCACAAAATATGACATGATGCTACAAAAGCGAGTACAATTCATGCTAGAGAATAGTTGACATGGTTCAAATACTGATAGGTGAGTCAAAATGTTGACCGGTGTTCTAATATGGGTAAAGTTTGGCAGAAAAGCATATGAAGTAGTTACATTCGAGCTTGAGTTGCTATGCATTAAGCAACAACTAGGAAGTGCATTCATAATTACATAAAAGGGGGAGATTTTCTAGAATTCACTAACAATAAGTCTATTGCGTTTCACATTTTAATCTCATAAGAGATTGTGCTGACAGCTTCTTTACTGTGATGATGTATTCAGCGTTTTTCAGGAAACGTCTTGACCAGTATAATTCATAGTTTTTGAGCTCTTCATAATTCGTCAAATTAAGTATTGCTATATAAGAATTCTTTTAGCTGTTAAAATCAGTCTGTTTGGAAACCTATGAATAACATGTCTTTCTGTCGTCTATTTTTTTTTATTGAATAAACTCACTTATGATCGATTCTGTGTATGTCCCTTGCAATGTTTCAAAGAAAAATGACCAATAAGCAAACAGAATTTCAGGTGTACATAAACTCATTTATAGCTAAAACTTCCCACTGATCTCTCACAATTTTCTACTCAGAAAAAATGTAAGAACAATTTGAGAATGAGATTTACTAGTCGTCATAGTCTTCACGTATTTAGCATGTATTTTTGATAGTGACTTGAAGTTTTATCCTATAAGAGATTTTGATTGCTTAAATATATGGAAAATCTAAAAAGCTCCTGTATCAAGAAAACTATACTTTATATCGTTGAGCGTTCATAGAAACATAGTACACCACTCGTTCTAGTAGTAACCTTCTATTTCGCATTTTTCTTGCTCTGATACAGTAAAGGATAGCAATGACTTACTAGCGATTAATCGTCTAGTTGTTGTTGAAACTCCTGAAAAAAAGACAAACAAAGAAAATAACCACCTGATTGATAATTATCAGACATCGCTTCTCTTCACTTGCGACAAATGCTTACCAGAACACAGACTTGGACTACTGATGGGGATCATGTGTACGCGCTTTCCACTATAATCGGTGACATAGAGATTGCCTGATGCATCCATCGCCATACCAAGTGAACCACTACTGACAGCATTGTTATAAGAGCCATCAAAGACAATAATGCCATATGTAGCGTCTGGTGACCATAGTTGGATCCTTTGATTTCCAGAGTCCAATACGAATAAATTCCCGTTTCCATCAACAATGATCGACGTTGGAGAATTCAATTGACTGTTAGATGATCCTTGTCCAGTTCCACCAGCTACTACAACACCAGTTGTCCCACCACTTGCCCATCGAACAACGCGGTGATTTCCAGTGTCACTTACAAAAATGTTGCCTATTTTATCCGTAGAAACACCTTGAGGTCCATTAAGCATAGTAAGAGTAGAACCACTTGTTCCATTTTTGTCCCCGGCTACAAGAATCCCTGTTATTGCATTCAAGATCCATTTCGTCACACGATGATTCGTAGCATCGGCTACATACAGGACACCATTTGCATCGACATGAATATTGTAGACAGTTCCTATTTGGTTTAGGGAAGATTCAGATCCTGTTGAGCCAGCCACAGTTGTACCAGCCACCGAACCACTGAGTTTCCAACGTTGAACTCGATAATTATATATGGGATTTGGGTTGTAACCGATATAGTATCCACCGGTATCAGCCATAAATAGGTTATTCGAAACGCGGTCAACAACAAGCCCATAGACTACGCCAATCTGACTACTAGTACTACCACCTGCCGAACCATAATACGCCAACGAAGGCGCTGTTGTTGGCGCCAGAAGTACACCACTTGTGTAGTTGTTGTCTACACTATATTTGTACACTTGGGCGCCACTGTTACTGACATACACGTTCCGAGCAGTGTCTACAGCAACACCATAGAATCCATATGTGCTGCCACTAATAATTGTCTTTATATTGGAACTGTATGTTGGTAGTGTGCAGTCTATTGTTACAGTTGTTCCTATAAATGTGTACAATCGTCATTACTGATATAAAATTCATTGATCGCTGCTCAATTTGAATTAGTAATAAAGCAACACTCTTTATTGTGTAACTATGCTTCGCATAGGGCATAACATGTTTCAAAGTATGTGAGTCTTGTTTTATTATTTTTTTAGTTTATTGATGATGAGTCACAAATATGAGGTTTATTAACACAAAAGCGTAAATTATGACTGTGTATCAGAGATGTCCATCGCGGCTGAAACTTCGCCGCTGCCACACCGCAGCATATTTCAAAAGCTCTGCCGCTGTGGCACCACCATCGCGGGGACAATTCAGATAGATTTAATACGAAATAAGAGTTTTAGAGCAGGGAAAATTATATCGATATTATATTCAGCTAATAATCAATAATTTTTTGAACATGAATTTATATAATAATTGAAGACAACCAAAATTTACTACAATGAGAAGGGATTCTTTTCTAACATATTTAAACATGTTAGATATTATTTTGTTAAGCTTTTATAGAGAGATGCCTAATACCTGAATAACATAACAGCTTACGCTCGCGAATATTCTATCATGAAGGAACAGATTTAGGATGCAGCGAGAGATTATGAGTGATGATAAGTATAACAACATACTCAAGTATTACCGTTATACCTGAATATAAATAAAATCGGAATACAGTATTATCTATGAGTACAGAAAATATTAAAATGATTACTTCTCTTTTGCAAGAGAAAATTAAAATAAGTTTATTTAAGTAATGATTTTGTTTCATTTATTTCTTTTTCGTACATTATAAATACAAGAAAATCTACAAAAAAATCCACTGATTGTTTTAATCAGTTCGTTTTATACTTGTCAGAAGTTTGTATGAACTTTTGATAACAAGCATGTTATCGGCATAAGTTGGTGATGATCTTTGTCTTCTTTTGTTTAAAATGACACTACTACAACTGAAAAGCCTTTCGATTCCTGCTGATGTAGTCGGAATAGAATATAACTTTCCAATAAGATGCCTCTGAGTTTTTAGTCTGATATTTTTGACTTTCGATGAAGACTACAGCGCTTAAAAATTTTGCCTCTGCCACGATGCCTAAAAATGTTTTTTTTACTGCTGCCACGACCCTGACACCATAGTGTCAGCGTCGGCGCTGCCATGGGCATCTCTGCTGTGTATGTCTGAGCATTATAATGTGATTGTATGAGTGTAGCTATGAGTGCCAGAATAAGTTTGAGTATTTTCTTATTTCATATTGTCCGTAGAATAGAATTAGGAGAAAGGGTGTGTATAGGTTAGAGTCAGATATACACTGTAAAAAAAAAGGTATTTTACCAAACCTTAAAAAAGGTTCGGTAGATGACAAAAAGCTTGCAAATGTGCTCAAAGTTTCAAACAGAGAATAAAAAAAACCACGTAACCTTTAAAGGTTCTTCCCGTGTGTCCAGGGGAAGATCCTTTAAAGGTTCCGTGGAATTTTTTATTCTGTGTTTGAAACTTTAATCAAATTTGCAAGCTTTTTGTCATCTACCGAACCTTTTTTAAGGTTCGGTAAAGTACCTTTTTTTTTACAGTGTAGACATACATATTAAGGTAGATATAAGCGTGGATGTGCGAGTATACGGTTAGACAATCACCATCACATCCGCCGACGTGCATACAAATACAAATATTCGAAACATAAATATTTCGTTCATTAAAATGCTTTGACATCTATAAATATCCTTATCCTCTTTCATTCCGCAAGTAGGGGTAGACACACTCAGCTCATGAACTTCGTTCAAGTGAGCAAAGAAACCGTTCGAACAGTTCCTTAGAGCGCACTGAGCTCTCTCAAACGGTTCGTTTTAAAGGAGCTGAACCGTTCAAACAGCTCAGTTCATATGAGTTCAACTGTTACAACAGCTCATTTCAGTGAACCGAACTTTCTGTAGAGATACTCCTAGGTTTTCAAGGGATACGAGAGGAGGGTACTCTTAGGCCCTCAAGACCTATTATAGGGAGGGACCCTTTGGTTCATAATACCCACTATTTCGCGTTACCCTTATATCTTAAAGACCTACTATTCGGGCTACTATCAGGCAACACCGTCAGAAAAGGGACGAAAAGCTTCCTCAAATTTCGACGGATGTGTTTTGACCTTTGAACGCAGATGTTTTTTTCGCCCATCGTTTCTCGGTTTTTGGAATGAACGGGCACCTTAACATTACCCCACAAATAGATAGAGCATCCTCAATAACTCTGGGATTGGCCCGAACATGACTATGTGTGTCGCCCTCTTCATAAGGGGAAAAGGTCTCCTCAAGTTTTGATGGATGATTTTTTGACCTTTGACCCCATATGTTTTTTGCGCCTGTCGATTTTTGAGTGTCGGGATGAATGGGGACCCTAACATATACCAATCAATCGAGAGAGCTTTCTCGATAATAATAGGTTTAGTCCAAACATGAATATTTTTTGCCCTTACAACAAGGGAGAACAGGTATCTAAAATTTTAATGGATGTTTTTTTGGCCTTTCATCCTAGATGCTTTTGCTCCTATCGGTTGTCCGATGTTGGGATCGAGGAAGACTCTAACATATATCCATCAATCGATAGAGCATTCTCAACGACCCTCGGATCGGCCCGAACATGACCATATGTCGTTCTCACCATAAAGGGGAAAAGGCCTCTTGAAATATGGTGGGATGGTTTTTTGACCTTTGGCCAACGGTTGCCCGTAGCATGTTTCCGAAGAACGGTCTGGGAATTGAGACCTTCATCCCTAACCCTCTATAGTAACCTTTGAGAAGTTAAGGGGACTGCTATAGTGGCTTTTGAGAGTTTAAGGGTGTCCCCCTATAGTAGGCCTTTAGGATCTAAGGGTACCCTGCTATAGTAGCTCTTGAGGGCCTAAGGATGCCCCGGTATTGTATCCCTTGGGGACGTAAGGTTACCTTCACAAAAAGTTCAGTTTGCTGAAGTGAGGTGTTCAAAAGGCTCGGTTAACTGAAGTGAGCTGTTCGAACAGTTGAGCTCATTTGAAATGAACCGTTTGAGAAAGCTTAGTTCGCTCAAATGAACTGTTTGAACAGCTTCGTTCGGCTCCGTGAACTTTTTCAACGATTACCTTTTTGTGAGCTTGAGCTGAGCTTGTCGTCTCCTATTCAAAAGTCTATTTATTTCGATGAATATGAGGTTCGATTGAGAATACTTCACAAAATATTTAGTTAAAAAGGATAAAGATTTAAAAGTGTTAATGATTGAAGTCGAATAAACACTAGATTACATAGTTTTTGACTCAAAGCATAGAGCTGATCAGACAATGTATGATTGTACTTACTTGTTAAGATGCCAATCCATCTAAAGAAAGACATAAGATCATTCTTATTGTAATACTATATATTAAGTGGCTCCTATAAATACCATTCTGTAATCCTCTAGTTCAATATCTCTCCTTTTCTTGGTCTTTGGATTCTTCTTTCGTTCTGTTTTTTTTTATTTCATGTTTTTTTTAATTTCTCTCCTCCTATAATTTTACTGTGCTTCATACTCTTGTAACAATTTCAATAAATATTTTGCATGCGAAAGAGGCGATTGTATGGTTTGAAGAAAGAAAATAAAGTGTAACATCATGATTACTACTGATTCTATCAATAATTCTCTTCCTGATAAACTGCTAAAGAAAAAATCCCCGGAATTGATCATTATACGTGACACTCATCTGCAAAAATATGAGTCTTATTTGTTTTATTTTTAAATTTGAAGTATCAATTTATGAAAGTAACTATCGAGAAATTTCAGCTTCCAATAAGCATGGTTTGAAAAAAGTTAATACCAGCTTTTATTCCCATCATTATTTCATTCGACAAAAAATATATTTAACTCTACACGAGTTACGACTAGGTCTGAGTGTAACGAAAGATTAGGCATACGCTCAAGGCTAGACTCTAGCAAAAATACAGTTACATATTCCTCTCATATTGTAGAGTATCAAAAGTTACATTGTGTGTAAACATTCAGGATGAAATTTTTTAACATGAAAACATATTATTTAGTTTATGAAACAAACTAAAACGTTTTAAGTGCTCGATTGCTTCAGCTCCTTTTATTTCAACATATTATCTCAATAATGGAATAATACAAAAAACTACCTATACATTGTTTATTTCTCAGCTTTATAGTTAGCATTTTGATAGGGTTGATAAATGATTATGGGAACTGATGCACAATAATGCACTTGAAGAACATTAAAATTGTGTCAAAATTAGTTCACTATGCAACAAACTATTTCATAAGTACAGCAAAGTACATGAGAATTACAAATAAATACTATTTTCAGGTAGTTAAAAGCTGCTTTCAGTAACACAAACTAATATAAAGTAAAAACCACACCTTTTTCGGTCTTGGTCTTAAAAAACAGCCGTAAGTTGTGTATCATAAAGTTTAATTTTATTTCCTCAGGCTATACTGATAGTTATAAAAATTGGTGCTGCCAATTCTTCGAATGAAGCTCATTAGGAATTCAACTTTCTTGGTACTTACGAGGGAACTGCCCGAAGTGATTCACCACTTTTGAGCTCATAATTTGGGTATAAGTAAGGAAAACCGACACTAGAATAAACCTAAAAGGATTTGGGCCCATGCATCAGTAGGGCTGAGCTATAAGCGTTTTACTGACTTTTTGCTTTAGGGCACTGGTTTACCTGCAAAATTAAATGGATGAAT